AGTTGTGGGTGTGAAGTATTGGGTCTCAGTGATGGAAAAAATAATACAGAAAGATGGTATCGTGAGTAGTCACTGCTGTGACTGTATCTGACCATTTGACTTAGAATCCTTTGGAATTGGAGTGCAGGAGTGTAGAAGGGTTTAGAGATGAAGGATAGTGAAGTCCTAGAGAGACTGAGACATGATTCTGGTCAGAACTCTGAAGACCAGAATGCCAATAGCAATGTGGACAGTAAGAGCCAGGCTCATGAGGTTTCAGTTAGGGATAAGGATTCCACTGTAAACTGGACTAAAGGCTACGCATTTTACACTCTAAAAAAATATCTGTCTACATTTTGTCCAGGTTTTAAGACTTTTCAGGGACTGAGATTAAGGGTTGTGAACTAATTTATCCGGCATAGGAAATTTCAAAGCAGCCCAATATTCAGACTGTGGCATAGTTACTGCTGGGTGCTTTTAGCCAGATTATTAGTGAGAAGCAGGGGCAAAAAGCAAAGCAGAAAAATTTTACAACTTTCTTTTGGCCCCAAAGGAACTATGTACAACGTTGGGGCCAAGGGAGTTGTGGCTGAAGTTATTTCTACAATTAAAAGATGGGCTGGGGATTTAGTTCAGTGGCACTGCACCTGCCTTGGAAGTGCAAGGTCCTGAGTTCAATCCCCAATACAAAAAAAAAGAAGAAGGAAAGAAAGAAAAGAAACTAAGTACTTTGTACAGGAAGAAGATGCCTTGAGGGAATCTCAGAAATCAGTAAGCCCTACCCAAAAGGCTCAAGGGTGCAAAAGTATCAACCTTTCATTTGAGACCAGAGTCCCGATTCCTCTGCTGGAGAAGGGGTGCCTAGGGAACTGAATCCTCAGAATTCATTTCAATGTGCACAACCATTCAGGCACTCAGAAGCCACTGCAGCTGTGGTTTGTAGAGCCTGGCTATTGCTCAAGCTGGCAGCAGACCTTGGCACTGTCCACATGAGGCTAGTTCTATCAGCATTCAGAATCTGAGAGTTGTAGGGTCATGGAGGCTTCCACCAAATTTCAAAGAAAGGCCTGGGAATTTAAGAAAGGAACCCTTGGGAAGGCAGTGTGAAAAGCTGTGGCAATGAAGCCAAAGGTATAATGGAGTGCCCAGGAAGTTGGAGAAGCCATGAACATCTGCTGAGTAAAGCTGCAGGCCATAAGTGGAGCCAACCAAGGGAGAGTCCACGTGGGCTACAACCATCAAGGCCATAGTGGTGGAGCCACAAAAGCCCTCTGGAACTCACATTTTACCACCATGTGCCCTAGATGCTGTACATAGACCTACAAAACTCAATGTTTGCCCTGCTGGGCTTTGGTCTTTTTCTCTTTTATTCCCCAATTCCTTCCTTTTGGAACAGGAATGTTTACCCTATACCATTTTATATTGGGATTAAGTAACTTGTTTTTTGAATTTTACAGAGGTTCACAGCTAAGAGTTTGCCTTGAGTGTCAGAGGAGATTTTGACTTGGAATTCTGAGAAATGCTGGAACTGTGGAGACTTTAAGGGAAAGGATTATTGTGTTTTTGATTGCATGTAAGATAGCTGTATCACATTAGGCAGAATTATTAACTTGTTACTGTGTTTATTTAGGAATTAAGTATAGTTTTAAGAGATGTGTTTAGGTGTCAAGCTGAAAAGTGATGGGATATGACAGTTAAGTTCATCAACTTGATTAGCTTGGGAATCAAGGGGATTAGTAAAGTATACTTTGGTGTGTGGCTGGTGGGCCATGGAGACATGGTCTTGGATAATATCTGGTCTGTGGCTCCTTCCTCTCTGGCACTGTTCCCCTGTTGTGCTTCCCACCACCTTGAATTAAGCATCTTTGTTCTGCCACACTCTTCTGCCATGATGTTCCTACCTTGGAGCCAGCTGACCATGAAGTGAATCCTCTGAAACTGTAAGCCAAATAAACCTCTCCTCCTTTAAATTGTGGGTATCTGAGGTTTTCTCCCACTATCAGAAAAGCTGTCTAATACAGTTCTTTAAGCTTTTCTAAATTATTCCAATATATTTATAATGAACACATTATTTTCATAACAACCTTGTCTTAAGAAAAATGTTATCACAGGTGGCTTAGTTTAATAACTGCTATATTTACTATACAGTATCTAGATCTTTGTTACTTAAATATATGATCCTTACATCAGCAACATTAGCATCACTTTGGAGCTTGTTAGAAATACAGAATTTTCAGGCCCCAACTTAGATCTACAGATTAACAATGTATATTTTAACAAAATACTCAAGTGACTCATGTGTACATTAAAATATGAAAAGTATCAATCTAGATGTTAAGGCCATGATATGCAGGGACAAAAGAAATAATGTCTGCCTTGTTCATCATTATATCCCTAGCACCAAGCAGTGTATGAAACATATTTGTTAAATAAATATGTAAATGATATAACTTCTGGATAAAGAATCAAAGAATCGGAGAAGTGGAAATAATATCTATGTAAAGTTTATTTCTGCCAGAGTTCTTAGAAGTAGGTGCTTAATATTTACTATAAATATTAAATTACCTCAATAACGAGTCCCTAGAATTTATGACTGCATGTAAACCTTATTTCCAAAAAAAAGAAGCTCTTACTCCTAGATCTGAGAGCCACATGCTTTCTTCAATACGAGGCTCCTATATATGAGTGCATCTTATAGTTCCTATCTGTATAGTACTTTCTTCAAAGCAAATCTACTCTCAAGATTTTTAACTAGCACCCCTGGGAAAAAATTTACTATTTAAGTTTCAGTCTCTGTGCTCTGTCTATACTTTCAATTCTATTGCCTACATCTCAAATTTAATGTTCAAAATTAACTATTTTATTCTCCATCAACTATCTTTTTCTCTCCCTCTAGAAATAGGTAGGTCTCCATTCTTACACACTCAAGATTTTCAAGTTTTAGAAGAAAAACTGCCTGGCCCAAAAACATCACTTTACAAATGAGAATAGGATCTAGAATTAAACGACAGTCAAGTGCCTAGTTATTGGCCACACTACAGCTATAATTTAAATCAGTTTACTCCCAACACAACTGGAATTTGACAGAATTTTCATTTTCATCAACAACACTTAGATGCACTTTTTAGAAACTCGTATTTAAAGTTCAAATCATCTAAGGGTTAGGAGTGCAGCTGAGTGCTTGCCTAGGATGCTTGAGATCCTAGGCTCAATAGCCAACACTGTAAATATATAAATTAATAAATAAAATAAAAATTAAAATATATTAGGGATAGGGATGTAGCTCACTGGTAGAGCACTTGCCTAAAATGTGTGTGGCCCTGGGAACAATCCTCAGCACTAGAAAAAAAATTAATACTCTAGATCAAAACAATCAAGCCCACTGTTACTGTTCTTCTGACATTTCTTGCATTCCTTTGTTCTTCCTTTTCATCATTCAATATCATCCTTTCCAAATGCTTTACCCTCACTTAATATGTCTTTAACAAATAGACTCTGAAATATGAGTGCTATTCCTGATGTTTATATCTTTATTCACAGTGCTCAACCCAGAGATGATTCCTAAACATTCACACCCTATTCCTCCCCAGAATCCAACTGAATCACAGCCTTTTATCGCGGGCTTTCCTCTTTTCCCAATTCCTAATGTAATGCCTGCCGTGTCACTCACTTTGATATCTGCTCATAGGGTGATTTTTACTTTTTGGAAATATGCTATTTTCAAAGGTAGAAAGACTCTCGGATGTAATCTAGGTCATCTTTTAGATCCGAGAAAACTGAGTCTTAGAAAAAAATGTCTTGCCTAATGTTACTTGAGATACTGGTGGTAGTGATGCAGTCTGAATCTAGTGCTCAGGATTCTTATCCAGTTTCTAAGTCACCTCTACACATACCCAATCTTTCCCTACATTCCCCAAATGATAATGCAAACAAAATGTAAATACCAAGGTCATATAAAACTTTATTTAGCATGACAAGCTGTGTTCACCCTATTATTAAGCACCAGAAGGATATATACTTCTCCAAATCAAATGAAAGCTGAACGCAGGTAGGAGCATCGAAAGAGGAGGATGGATAATCAATCAACCTCTTCACCGCCACAAAGCTGACACCCTGGAATGGTAGCACAGGCAAGAGGAAGGAGAACCCAAGTTCAAGCCCAAACTAGGCAATTTAGTGACTCAGCAAGACCTTGTCTCAAAATAAAAATTAAAAGGACTGGAAATGTAGCTCAGTGCGAAGGGCCTATGTTCAATCGGAGAGAACTGTTACAGGTCCCCGTTGCACACCGAAATTTTCTCTCCTTTATACGGGACCACGAGCTTCCGTCACATTCCTGCCTTCCCTTTCTCCTGACCTCATTCTCCTAGCCACTACACGAATATGCATGCACAGCTGCGTCAGCCTTGCAGTTCCTTTCCCGCATCTGTACTTTCGCAAACCTGGATCCCACAACTTGAAATGCTCTCCCGGAGATCCTCTCGCAAATTCTAAGTCGACTCTCACCACCCGGCTCAACTGGCTTCTATACAAGCGCCCGGCTTCTATACAAGCATCTCGATCGCCCTCCAAAGGTGAACCTGTCTCAAAGGAAGAACTGTACCTGCGGACAACAGCAAGGAGAGTGGGAAGAATCCCCTTGAAGGAACGATGCTTTGGACTGACTGAAGACCTAACCGGAGGCGCGCTCAGCCTGTGTACAGCCTCGGTCTCCTGCCCGCCGAGGGGAAAACAGGTTCCCAGAGGATGGGAGCTGCCCAAAGAGGGTACTAGTGCCACCAGCGAAAAGGGCCCAAAGGAGCCCGCCCACGTCCAGCAACCCAGCGGAACTGGCACACCTTACCTCACTCACAGCCCCGGCAGCAACGCTACTTTACGGCACTCACGGCAACCGCCGCAAAAGGGGCCGTCAAGTGCAGAGCCGCGGACCCTGGCCCGGGTGGTGTCGGGAAAGTCTCTGCTACCGGAGTCGGCCTCTGTTCGTCCGTCTCTCACGGCGCTTCCTCGCCACCTTAAGTTTACTGACCCTTAGCGATTTCCTTTTAAACCCAATCATAGTGAAAGCCCTTTCATCTCCTGCCTAGGTAACAGCAGCGCCATGAGGCAACGAGAGCTTTTAGGAAACCCTATCGATGGACGCTGAAGTAGCATCAGCTGAGCTGTTTGCCTCGGAGCCTGATAAAGTACAGAAGGCCAGCTAAATGTAAACAGTGAATTTATTTTTTTTATCATTATTTTTTTTTGCGCATGTCCTAAACAGACAGGGATTCAGGACAACTTCCTGAATTCTGGCTTGGATATTGCTGGCCGAGATGGGGATAACAGTCTGCTGGAGCTTGGGTATCATTCGGGAAACTCGTCCTCATGAGCAATATAAACTTGAAACAAGTTTAGGAGATAAAAGAATACCAACTAATAACTATGTGAGACTGGAGAGGCCCTAAGAATTTTTACAAAGAGAGATGACAGGAGACTGGCAGCGGTTTTTTGTTTTTAATTTTTAATTTTTTGGCACTGAGGATCGAGCTCAGGACCTTGTGTTTGCGAGGCAGGCAGCGGAACCACTGAGCTAAATCCCTGGGTCCTGGCAGCATTTTATATTGCTCAAGAGGATGACTTTCCCGCATGACACCCAAGCTCCAGCAGACCGTTTTCGTCCAGTTGAAGACTAGAAATATGAAGAACTATTATTAAGGAGCAGATATGAATTCAGCTTGGTTTTGTTTTTGGTACCGGGGATCGAACTCAGGACCGTGTGCTTGCGAGGCAGGCGCGGTGCCAATGAGCTAAATCCCCCGCCTTATGAATTCGTTTTGATGTGGATTTTGGTGTTTTTTTTTTTTAGACGGGGTCTTGTTCTGTAGTTCACGCTATTCTTGAGCTCACTATGTAGCCCAGGCTAGCCTGGAACTCGAGGCAATGCACCTGACTCAGCTTCAAGAGTGCTGGGGTTATAGACGTTTGCCACCATGCCCGGCTTGATGTGGATTTTTGAAAACTAATGAAATGAACAAATTACTGTCATTTTAAGCTTTTTACAAAAATTACTATAAGCCTGTAGTAAAAACAAAAGTATTCCTTTTGTTTTCTAATCTTCAATTTTTCAAATTGTATTACATAAATAGGAAGTCTGCCTTATCTCCTAATGGTTATCACTTTTATCAGCTTTTATTTTGCCTTCTAGAAATTTTCTGTATATACAAGATTACTAGAGATATCCTCTTACTCCTCAGTGTACTCAGTACTATACATTTGGTAAGTTAATTAAAAAAAAACACAAAAGGTAACACCTAGAGGAAAGTAATACATTAGTACACAGAAGGTTTATGGGATGATTGGACATAGGTACTAGCTTGAGGAACCTAAAAAAGAAAATGTACGTATCCAACGGTAAAGCTATTGATTAAACCACATAAAAATTCTTGGGACTAGGATTGTAGCTCAGTGGTGTGCTTGCCTAGCATGCATGATGTTCTGGATTAATATGACCAGCACCACCAAAAAAACCAAAAACAAAAACACTTCAGTTTATGCTGACTCCTTAAAAATAAAACCCAGCCATTATTGAAGCCTGCCAGGGCAACAATCTTCTTCTTTGAAATTTGATAAAGGGAAAAACACCAAAATATCAAGCATATAATCTGCCTTTCTTCACTCAGGTATGTGTGCACACAAACACATCCTGGGCTACCCCTAACATTTGTGAGTTCTGGGACAGAAGAATGACTGGAGGCCAATACTAACATATTTTGAGTATTTAAGCAGCTAAGAGCTAACAAATAATAGTATTACATTCTTTTACCTTGACAAATATTTCTTTTCAAGGAACAAATTCAGCTGTCTTTAATACTGCTAGTTTCCTGCATGACATATAAGATCCAGCACACTGCTATCTTCCAGTTTCAGGCTAGAAATAAAAAGTTTTAACAGTGCAATTCAAATGTAGAAATTCAAATATGGTACATAGATTTCTCAGACATGTACTGGAAAGTGACAGCATGAGAACTGGGTTGACTTCGTACTCATGAATGTGGACACCCCAGTCTGCACATCAAGTTCCATTCATACTCCCCACAAATTCCTACCCAGAGGAAGGAATTAGATTCAGGTTTAGATTCAGACCATCCCCCAGAACTCTGATGCACTCAAAGGTGGGGTTCTTGGAAGGTGATTGGATCTTGGGGATGCTAAATGCATCACTAATGAGTTCAGCATCTGAGTGTGCTATTAGAGGAGGTGGGGCCTGGTTAGAGGCAAGTCACTGAGGGGTGTGACCTGGAAGGGTGTCTCTTCCTCCCCAGCTCTTCTCTCTGCTTCCTGGCCATCATGATATGAGCAGTTATCCTCCACAGCAGGCCCTTCCACCATGCCATTTCCATGTTTGAGCCAGCCAACCATGGACTGAAACTTCTGAAACTATAAACCAAAATAAACTCTCCTTTAAGTTGAAGGTGTCAGGTATTTTGTCCCAGTGATGAGAAAGTGACAAAGACCAGTTATATACAACTACAGTATATTCTTTTTTCAGAGTAGATTTTGAGAAGAGGCCTATACATATCCTGGAGCAACCTTCCAGCTGATTAGGCAAGGAATTCTGAGGAAGTGGCTATCTGGCACTTTGTCTAGAAGTGGGTAGAGAAACTCCAAGTAGAACAATCACTTGGATGTACAGATTAGGGTATCCATGTCCGTGAGTACCAGTTTTTCATTCCACAGAGAGCCAAGAGTGTGGAAATCAGATCAGGATCCTCTTAACTCAACTCTGAGTACATGCACCTGCTCATGATATCATGTACTGCTGGACAACTTCCCTGATTGCCATGTTTTATCAACTGTGAAGGCTTACATGAAAGTACCATATCAGTTCTTGTGCAAAATGGACACTACACAATCAGTACTGTGCAGTATAATTAATAAGGAAAAATCTGGACAGGAAAATAGAGTGAACATGATTTCCCAATCTTTTATCACACAGAGATCTTAGCCAGAAAGACTTGTATAATAAGGAAAAGGCTCTAAATAAGGAAGCCAGCTCTCATAATGGTCTACATATTTACAACATTTTTATTGAGGGTGGGGAGAAATGTGCAGAATATCTTTAGAGCACTATGTAAGAATGGTAGTTTGCTGGATCTGAATGTTAGAAAAGGATAGCCTTCAAAATTCTAATAGCTCATTCTTTTGTTAATTTAGGCCTGCTGAGCTATCTGCCTAGCTATGAAAAAAGGAAAAAATTACTTCCACGGCCATCTAAATTTGTCTTTCTTCAATCAACCATCAGTTTGCTTATATTTTATTTTATTTTTTTTAAAAATGACAACACAAAAAAAGGTGGTCAAATGTTTATCTCTTATTTATCCAGTAACAATAAACTGCTGAATCATTAGGCTGGAAAGAATTATTTAGGTCAAGTTCACTCTTTGCATGTGGTACTGAACAGTCTTAAATCAAAAGTGCAAATTCCTTGGTGGAAAAGTAGCTTATTTATTTATGCTCTTATTCTACAGTGACACTAACACACTAATAATGTGGGAGAACCTCTATAGCTCTAGTCTTGAAAATAGAAGATAATATAAAAGGCCATGAGTCATGCACAAACTTAATTTTAAAGGGCATTTTGATATGAAGGTTTATTTTTTAAATTATGTTTGAAATCACTGGTGATACCACTTTAAGAACATGCCTTATCAAGGTGGGATTTAAAAGTATCAAAACAAATCCATTATTAACTAAAAATAACATCTTACATTTATATAGCACTTTACTTTTGCTGAAACAAGTTTCACATATTCCATTTCATTTTATTCCTCACAACAGCCCTGTGCAGTAGGCGGAACACATTACAATTATTTTAAGGCAATAGAGGCCCAAAGGTGATGAATGGTGTACACAAAGGTCACAGATCTAATATATAGTAGAGATAAGGTGATTAATTTTAAATACTTTAAAAGAAATTATGCAAAAATCTTTGTATATTATATACAGAGACTTTAGAGACTAGTGGCTTTAATATAAATTAGTCCAAAACTTTAGCTATTGTATATTTTATGGTATCAGTTTCAAATTTGATTTTAAAGTATCTCCCTTAAAAGGAGAATTAGACTCAGTGCTTTAGTACCTCAGAAGTATTTGAAATGTTAAAAATAAAAGATGGATTCTCAGTAGTCCTGTACTCTCCAAAGAGTTCCAATATTAATAAAAATGCCTTCTACCAAATCACTGACAAAAGTTAGTCAAAACTCAGTAGCTCCAATCCAAACCAAACACATTCACCTACAATCTTCCCCACATACTGTGAAATCTTGTAAATGTCCATTCCTAAGGACCAACTTATACTACCTGGATACCATTAAGCAAACAGCATTTTAAGGGCCGGGGATTTAGCTCAGTGGTTCCACCGCCTGCTTTGCAAGCACAAGGTCCCAAGTTTGATCCCCAGTATCAAAAAAACAAAAAACCAAAACCACAAAACATCATTTTAAATGAACATAGCTTAAACGAATATGAATCCAAAGTCAGTACCTTATTTTGACCCACAAAAAAAAATTCTTATTTTAATAATTGAGTAGTCTAAGGAAAAAAGTGCTATGGCAATTTTTGTTATTTATTTATTAAGCCAATACTAACCCTATATGGCATGTCCAATAATACTTTTCAAAGGGAAAAAAGATAACTAAATTTAGTTCATTTAAACTCCAACGAATTCAAGATTATTTAGGTTAGTTATATATTTAAGGTAACAAAGCTAGAATATCTGACATCAGAATCACAAATAATTGCAGAATGTAAATACTGTTAAGATACAGACAAAACTAAAACTACACTGAACATGAGGTAATCTTGCGATGATTCAGAAAATATTTAAGATCTCTTATAATACTCCAGTGCTGGTATTATGAAGTATACATTTTGGTTAGAAATAACAAATAACTTTATTCACTTCTCCGAAAGAATATATCTAGTGTAAAAATCAAATCAAGAAAGAAACTTCCCTAGACTTATATTATGTGCCTATACGAAGGTCAACCATATTGTATGCTATTCAAGGGCTTTTTAAGTAAGCTATAGCAAATTTACTTTTGTTTTGTTTTGTTTTGTTTTTGGTACTGGGGATTGAACTCGGGACCTTGCGCTTGTGAAGCAGGCAGCGGAACCATTGAGCTAAATCCCTGGCCCGCAAATATACTTTTTTAAAACTTCTAACTTCTTACCAAAACATTTTAAAGATGTAGTTGGTCTTTATCACACTACTCAAAGCAGCAAAACTAAATATACAATAAACCACTAATTTTCAAAATGTGAATACAGAGTAATCAAATTTCAACTGACATATCACAGACACTCCTATCTGTTGTATAAATGCACAGTGATGTAAAATGTTTTTTTTAATGAATTATGATGATCTGAAAATACCATCAACTTTTTAACTTTGGAATCACCCAATTCACACTAAGAAGTCAGAAATTAACATTCTTTGAAATAATAATTTTTAAAATACATTTTCCAAATTTTTCTTAAAAAATAATAAAATATATAAATAACTATTTTTATGGAAAAAGTAAACATAGAAAAGCTAATTTTGGGCAATTCATGATATAGGCTATATTAGCCTGATTTAAAGATTTTATGACAAATTGTTTTATTATTTATACCAAGGACCAGTTACAAAAAATCAAATTATACATGATGTTGTTCATGCGTTAATTTCATAAATGAGAAAATAAATGTAACCCAGTATGTCTCTATGTAGGGGGGAAATTACTGTTTGCCAGAGTAAGTAGGTCAAATTTAACTGTATAGCTGTAGTTCATGGTTTGTCAAAATGGTACAGATGTCATCAACTAAACCCAAAGAGACATGCCCTTAATACTTTTAATTTGTTTACCTATACAAAGACTCACTATATATTAGATTCCTATGACAATTAGTTATTAAATGCTTGGCTCATATATACATATTTACCAAAATTAAAGATGTATGTGACGATCAGCTGAAAGAGTCAAAATGAATTGTAAAAAAATTCTTTTTCTAAAGTGCTTAAGGCAGCTCCTTCATTTCTCTATCCAGCTTAATAAAACTGGTTTGGAATTCAACTGCTAAAAGGGAAATGCAATGCTAAATGCATGTTTTTATAATACATAATTTTCTACACCTATAATATATCCGTTGCTGTCAATCTCTCATGCATTTCCTTTATAGAAAGCAGTCATGTTTGACTGGTGAAAACAAAAGGTAAGCAAGACAATAGAGAATGTTTGAAAGGGTTTACCGACTTTCCACAATGTATTAAGCAAAATAGCTCAATATTTTTAACTCAAATGTCAATAAGAATGTTACGATGATGGAGTTAATCCTTATTTCAAGACTATTTAGGCACTATTTTTTAGTTTGAAAATGAAGATGACAAACTTTGTGTTTAACTTAATGAATAAACCTTAAAAATTCTAAAACTAAACACATGTTTATTCTTTAATTTTAGAGACTTTAAAAAAGAATCAGAGAGAAACCATCAGATTCTTATTTTGAAGTAATAATAGTATAATTTAATCCCAAGAATTACACATGATGAAAACTTGGTCTCTGGATTGACTGAATTTATATTTATTACTGCAAAGTTGCTGAGGAAAGAAGCCTTCCAGAGAAATTATACATTTCACAAATGAATATTAAAAATTTTATATGAAAATGTTCAAATGATAATATGAGCACAAGGAAAAAATAATATGCACTCCTCTAGCCCCTGATTACTATTTCTTTTTCTCCATGGCCCAGCAACAGAAGCCTTCACCACTATATTGTACCACTGCCTGGCTTCAGTATCAGCTGATACTGCATGGGGCATGGAGCAAGAGCATGCTTAGAGGAAAAAGGCACTGAGTTAATGGGAAAACACATCAGATAAAACATAATAGTAAAAAATTCTATACTAGAATATCTGGCTTTTTCTGTGTCATTTTTGCTAAGATATACTGTGTAGCTACTCAAAGCAACTCCACTAAATCACTGCTTTCAGGTTTGAATCTATGAAAGGGAACAACCCTTCTACAGGGAACAGAACACCTTACAATTTCTTTCAAAATATAAGGAACAAAAATATAATTTTTGGAGAATCAAAAAACTATCCATACATACTTCATTCTCTAAACTGCCTTATAGTCTTTAAAATTACCAACATAGTGCAGATTTGTCCTTTGGGAAAAATAATATTCTAAGTCAAATAAAATTACTCATTTAATTTGTTTTATCAATGGAACAAAAGATCACATTAGTAAATTTTAAGAGTGAATGAGCTAAATTCAAATACAAGTTCTAGGGGCTCCTAGAGATTTCTTAGTATTTTCTCTGTAGATGATCATTTCATCTACATATAAAGATTTTGCTTCTACCTTGCCAATCCTATCCTAATTGTGTCATTTTATTGCCAGACCATTTTGGTGGGGACTAGGTTTCAAAGTTTAATGGACAGATAAAGAGTAAGCATATCTGCCCTTGTTCCCCACCTTAAGGAGAAAGCATTGTATCTTCTCCGTTCATATAAGGCATTCTCACTGGAAGTATGGAGTACAACATGACTTTAATCTGTTGAGATGGTTCTGTTCTACTTCTGGTCTCCTGATAGCTTTTACCATGAACAGCTGTAGAATTTAGTCCAATACTTTTTCTCCAACTAGTGACAGGATCATATGTCATATGTTTTCCTTTCCTCTGTTAAAATGATGACTTTTGGGGGTGGATCTTCCAATGCTGAACCAACACTGCCATCCCTATAACAAAACCACTTTCTACATCCTGCCAGATCTGACTTCTAATTGTTTTGTTAAACAAATTTCTATCTATGTCCATACTTTTTTCTTCCATTATCTTCATCCAGTTTTAGGATTAGCACAATGTTGAGTTCCTAAAATGAGGGGAGAAGTGTTCCTTCTTTTTTCTGCTTTAATTGTTTGATGTAATTTATCAGTTAAAATGTATATGAGCCTGCTGTTGTCATATAGGTAGGTTTTCAAGCTAGGAATATACTTTCCTTAATAGGTGCTATTCAAATTTTATATTTCCTCCAGAGTTAGCTTCATTAATTCGTCTTCCAAGGTACTTCTTAGAAGTTGTCAAATTTATTTCAAAACAGATTTTTGAAATATGCTTTCTATATCCTTTTAAATTCTGTAAAATCTGTGGTAATGTCTCCTAGATCTTGATATTGTAATTTTAAAAATGTATAATTGATATTGTGTAACAGGAAGTAAAGGTCTAAAGGAGCAGGGGAAGTGGGAGGGGTAGGGGAAAGGAAAGAAGGGAAAAGCAAAAATATGAGAAAAGGAAAAAAATGGAAACAAAGTCTTTGCAAATAGGGAAGGGTGGAGGGGGTGAAGGGAGGGCAAGGGAAGGGGAAAAAAAAAGAACCAAGAGACTCATGTAATGGTACAAGATCCCAATGATGAATGCAACTGTATTTTACACCAAAAATGTAC